TTGCCTCCACAAACTTCATCAGGTTCAGAGAAACCAATCAGGCTGTCACATCTCAAGGAAACCTTGATGTTCAAAGAGAATTCTGCTATGCACATTAATTCTCAAAACTGCTCAATGACACCACAAAGACAGCTGCAGAGCAACAGGCTTTCCTGGCCCACATCTGCATATTACCACACGCAGCTGGAGAAAGGACATCAGCAGACCTGGGCTTGGGTCTAACTCAGCCACTGAGTTCCCAATCATTTATCACTAAAAGTGTCAACTGATTAAAGCATGGGTTGGTTGATTGATTCATCAATTCACTCATTGTGCAAACATCTGTTGAGCCAATGTTACAAGCCAACCCAAGAATGGGGAAACACACGTGAAGAGGATATGGCCCCTGCCCACAGGAGCTCATAAACTAATAGAGAAGCAAAGTCCAAACATGCAGGCAGTTGGAATAAAGAGCTCTGAACAGGTTAAGCAACTGAGCCTGGACTTCAATCCTGGCTCTACCACTTATTGGTGCGGTGACTTTGGGCAAATTTTACCTCCGCTGTTCAAGCTTCATTTCCTTAGCTGCGGATGGCAATCGTACCTATTACATTGGGTTACTGTCAGAATTAAATGAGGTAATACATATTACTATACATGTCAATAAACTTCCAATAAGTGTTGGCTGTGATTATTATTCTTTATTATTATCTGGGTGGTTCTACTCGATATCTTTTAAGGTCCTTTATAACCCTGAGATTCTATGAATTAGTGGTGTGACCCAGAGTAAGAAATTTAACATCTCTGGGCCTCATGCTCTTTATCTGCTAAATGAAAGGGTATAGCTAAGTGATTGCTAAAGTCCCTTCCTGCTCTGGAATATTAAAAGGCTCTATGATTGATCTTATATGATTTCATATGTGTCTCAGTGCCACTGCTTAGATAAAATGGTATGACAAAGCAAGTACCAAATAAACCATCTTTCTCAGGTGGCCATCTGAATACTTTTTCACTTTAGCTCCTTTAATCTCATAATCCACCCATGCATATATAAACTGTACATGAGGTATGAGTCCCCAAAGAGAAAAACAAACAAGTGTGGAGGAAGCCAGGCCACTGTCCCCTTCCTTTAGGCTGGGTAGTGGATTCTAAATCACAAGTGGGGGAGATGCAAAGAATGAATGGATTCATCCACGCACCCACAGAAGCATCCCACGTACTGAGTGCCTTCCTGTGCCCTACAGTGCCCCCTACTTGTCTCCATGTGCCACTTTCCACAGCGCCATCTTATCTGCCTGAACCAACAACTAAGCTGCTTGAGGGCTGGGACCTTGTCATGCTAACTTTGCATCCTCTATCCCAAGTACAGTGCTTGGAATGTGGGAGGCGCCTAATAACTTAATAATTAATTAAAATTCATACTTCCCTCAGAACCAAAACTATACATTTGCAAAGTGACTAGGCAGTTTGGGGATCTTTTACTAAGAGTCACCAATCCAGAAGTGCCAAAATGGCGATACCCAGGACCTAGAACTAGACTGTCCGAATCTCCTCTCCCCTTCTCTAGCTCGATTTCTCCAACCTCAGAGCTGACTGCCATCAGCCCCGCCTTCTCAGAGTGAAATCATGAAGATGGTGAACCTGAAGCAGGCCATTTTGCAAGCCTGGAAGGAGCGATGGAGTGACTACCAGTGGGCAATCAACATGAAGAAATTCTTTCCCAAAGGAGCCACCTGGGACATTTTCAACCTAGCAGAAGCACTACTGGAGCAGGCCATGATTGGACCTTCCCCCAATCCTCTCATCCTGTCCTACCTGAAGTATGCCATTAGTTTCCAGATGGTGTCCTACTCCTCGGTCCTCACAGCTATCAGTAAGTTTGATGACTTTTCCCGGGACCTGTGTGTCCAGGCTTTGCTGGATATCATGGACATGTTTTGTGACCGATTGAGCTGTCATGGCAAAGCAGAGAAGTGTATTGGGCTGTGCCGGGCTCTTCTCAGCGCCCTCCACTGGCTGCTGCGCTGCACTGCAGCCTCTGCGGAGTGGTTCCAGGAGGGTCTGGAGGCTGGCACTCTGGCTGCTGGGGAGAAGCAGCTTGCCATGTGCCTACAGCGCCTGGAGAAGACCCTCAGCAGCACCAAGAACCGGGCCCTGCTCCACATCGCCAAACTAGAGGAGGCCTCCTCCTGCACAGCCATTGAGCATTCTCTCTTGAAGCTTGGAGAGATCCTGGCCAATCTCAGCAACCCCCAACTCCGAAGCCAGGCTGAGTAATGTGGCACACTCATTCAGAGCATCCCCACCATGCTGTCTGTGCACTCGGAGCAGCCGCACAAAACTGGCTTCCCCACAGTCCATGCACTGGTCCTGCTTGAGGGCACCATGAACCTGACAGGCGAGACACAGCCCCTGGTGGAACAGCTGATGATGGTGAAACGCATGCAGCATATCCCCACCCCACTTTTTGTCCTGGAGATCTGGAAAGCTTGCTTTGTGGGGCTCATCGAGTCTCCTGACGGTACAGAGGAGCTCAAGTGGATAGCTTTCACCTTCCTCAAGATTCCACAAGTTTTGGTGAAATTGAAGAAATACTCTCATGGGGACAAGGACTTTACCGAGGACGTCAATTGTGCTTTTTGAGTTCCTGCTGAAGCTTACACCCTTGCTGGACAAAGCTGACCAGCGCAGCAACTGTGACTTTACAGACTTCCTACTCCAATAATGTAGGAAGCAGGATCTTTTGTCTGAAGCCAGTGTGAACAACCTTATGGCCAAGCGTGCAGCAGACCGGGAGCATGCACCCCAGCCAAAATCAGGAGAAAATGCCCACATCCAGCCCAATCCTGGGCTGATCTTCCGAGCGGAGCCCACTGTCACCAATATCCTCAAGACGATGGATGCAGACCACTCCAAGTCCCCGGAGGGGCTGCTGGGGGCCACATGCTGTCTGGGAAGAGTCTGGACTTGTTGCTGGCTGCAGCTGCTGCCACTGGGAAGCTTAAGTCCTTCGCTCAGAAAGTCATCAATTTGAATGAATTCATGACACATGGCAGTGAAGAAAGCACCAAAGCAGCCTCAGTTCGAGCCTTGCTCTTTGACATCTCCTTCCTCATGCTGTGCCACATGGCCCAGACCTATGGCTCAGAGGTGATTCTGTCTGAGTCGAGCACAGGAGCAGAGGTGCCCTTCTTTGAGACCTGGATACAGACCTGCATGCCTGAGGAGGGCAAAATCCTGAACCCTGACCACCCCTGCTTTCGGCCTGACTCTACCAAAGTGGAGTCCCCAGTGGCCCTGCTCAACAATTCCTCAGAGATGGCGCTGGTGCAGAGGAATTGGCCCGAAGCTTGTCTCAGCATTTCAGCGGCCATCTTGGAAATCCTCAATGCTTGGGAGAATGGGGTACTAGCCTTTGAGTCCATCCAGAAAATCACAGATACTATCAAGGGAAAGGTGTGCAGTCTGGCAGTGTGCGCCGTGGCTTGGCTTGTGGCCCACGTGCGGATGCTGGGGCTAGATGAGCGTGAGAAGTCGCTGCAGATGATCCGCCAGCTGGCAGGGCCACTGTACAGTGAGAACAGTGAGAACACCCCTGCAGTTCTACAATGAGAGGGTGGTGATCATGAGCTCCATCCTGGGGCATATGTGTGCCGACGTGCTGCAGCAGACGGCCACACAGATCAAGTTCCCATCCACGGGCATGGACACGATGCCCTACTGGAACCTGCTGCCCCCTAAGCGACCCATCAAGGAGGTGCTGACGGACATATTTGCCAAGGTGCTGGAGAAGGGGTGGGTGGACAGTCGCTCCATCCACATCTTTGACACCCTGCTGCACATGGGAGGCGTCTACTGGTTCTGCAACAACCTGATTAAGGAGCTCTTAAAGGAGACCCTGAAGGAGCACACGCTGCGGGCAGTGGAGCTGCTCTATTCTGTCTTCTGCCTGGACATGCAGCAGGTGACACTGGTCCTGCTGGGCCACATCCTGCCTGGCCTGCTCACTGACTCCTCCAAGTGGCACAGCCTCATGGGCCCCCCTGGCACCGCCCTCAACAAGTTAGTCGTCTGGTGTGCCCTGAGTTCCTATTCCTCCCACAAGGGACAGGCATCCTCCCGCCAAAAGAAGCGACACCGTGAAGACATTGAGGATTATATCAGCCTCTTCCCCTTGGACGACATGCAGCCCTCGAAGCTGATGCGACTGCTGAGCTCCAATGAGGAAGACGCCAACATCCTTTCCAGTCCCACTGACAGGTCCATGAGCAGCTCCTTGTCGGCCTCCCAGCTCCACACCGTCAACATGAGAGACCCACTGAACCGAGTCCTGGCCAACTTGTTCCTGCTCATTTCCTCCATCCTGGGCTCTCGGACTGCCGGCCCCCACACCCAGTTTGTGCAGTGGTTCATGGAGGAGTGTGTGGACTGCCTAGAGCAGGGCAGCCGAGGCAGCATCCTGCAGTTCATGCCTTTACCACTGTATCAGAATTGGTAAAGGTGTCAGCCATGTCCAGCCCCAAGGTGGTTCTGGCCGTCACGGACCTCAGCCTGCCCCTGGGCCGCCAGGTGGCTGCCAAAGCCATTGCTGCACTCTGAGGGGCTTGGAGTGTCCGCAGGAGCCCTCTGGGAGGGTTCCAGCCCCAGGCGCCTCGAAAGGGAACAGTGAAGAAAGATGAGACATCATTGCTCATATCCACATGATGTAAGAGCCTTGTGTGAGTTTCCAGGTCTTTTCCCTTCTCTCTGACTTATGACCTTTAAGATATCTCCTGGTCTCTTTCTTTCATAACTTCTTGTCCCCACTGCCAGTTCCTGAAGAGTGTAAGCAGCCTGGCTCCTTAGCTCCAGGCAGTCTCACCCCAGCACACCCCCTCCCGTGCACCCTACCCCCTTCCAAGGGTAGATTTACCACCTCTGAGGCTCTCTGTAGGTGCAGAGTATATATATATATATATATATATATATATATATATATATATATATATATATATATATATATATATTTTTTTTTTGGTAATACACGAGGGAAGTTCACCTCAGCTCATTTGTAAATAAAGTCCCCTGTGGCTCCCTTTGTAAAAAAAAAAAAAAAGAGTCACCAATCCAGCAGTGTCAAAAACTAGCTGTGTGACGTTGGGGGGAAGGGATCATTTCAACCCTCTGGCTCTCAGTTTCCCCTTAAGTTAAAGAAAAAAAATGAGGGGAATGGCTTAGATCAGGGGTTGGCAAACTATGGCTCATAGGCCAAATCCAGCCTATGCGCCCCACCCCCAGTTTAGAATAATTTTCACATTTTTAAATGGTTGTAAAAGTAAGCAAAGAATAATAAGTATCAGAAACTGTTAGTGATCCCCTAAAGTGAATATATTTATTCTCCGGCCTTTTACAGAACAAGCTTGGTGGCCCTGGATGAGATTATCTTTAAATTCCCGTCAAACCTGGAAATGTTAGCATTCTAATTCTGCTGGGTTTTCGTGAACAGTTTGATTCTGGCTCTTTGCACAGAATATTCCTAAATCTAAAACAATACTCAAGACACAGTAGATGCTCAATTGTTATTTGCTTAATTGAATAAATAGATTCTACAGCAGCAACCCTAAGAACTAAATCCCCCACCAAGAGGGTAAATTGGGTCAATGCAGATCAAATGATTGCCTAATAAATGCCCCAGGATCAACTTGCCACAACAAGGGGAACACCCAGCTCTATTGGCTCCTTTAGCTGACAGGGGCCCCTGTACCAGCCCAGAGCTCAGATCACCAGGATCACCTTGTTCCACCAAATAAAAAAATACATTTGGCCCTCCCCTAAACAAATCCCTCAGGCAAATTATAAAGCTATCTAGAAGTAGCTATCAGAAACACAGATCATCTGAACAGATCATCTTAATAGCCATAGGCTCAAGGGAATAAATCCCATCCACAATAAGACATATAGGATAATTTAACACGCAACGTTCTGTTTCTCTTTGCCTCTGTTGTTAAGACTATATAATACCAAAACAAGGAATTCAAACATTTATGTCAGGGCAGCAAGCCAATGAAAGTCTAGAATATATGATCCTATTAACACTAATGGAAGTTGGAGCAAGGTAAAGGAGAACATAAAGCTCCCTGCCCCCACTCTCACTACACATACGGCCCCAGAATAAACAGCCAGCAATTATTCCTGTAATGCTCCTTCTCTGTACACCCATAAATCACTCCCGGGATATACCTTCGGCTCATTTCAAGGGACAGGCTTCTTTTCTTCTTTTTTTTCTTCCCTTTGCTCTTCCTGTTTCTGTGTGCCTAGGAGGAGTGCTCCTGAAGGGGGCGGGGGTTGTTGCTTTCCTGCCATCCCTCCATTGAGCATCTCCGGTACAAGCACAGCACACCCCAACCTCACACTGTCAGACTGCCCTTAGAGACTGCAAAGTCGACCTAGAGATTCTGACCTCTCCACTTTCCTTTAAAGAAGCTACCTGGAGCTCTCTCTCCTCTCAGCTGACCAGAGAAGTCCGAAGGCCCCCCATGCCCAGTGATGAGGTGGATTCACACATCTGTCTCCTCACCCCCACCCCTAGTCACCATGCAACAAACACACGGACCTGAAAGGTTAAAAAAAATCCTGTATATCTCAATGCTCACTTCCAGGCTTTTCATAAAGCAGAGAAGAATAGTTTGGATTGCCTAACTGACTCATTAGCTAAGGTTTTTCTAATAGCCAGAAGAGACAGGCGCTGGCTCTCTGCTGACCTCTGCATGAACCTCAAAAAAAAAACCACCCCTTTTTTCCCAGAGTCTTGTTGTTTTTATGTGTTTTTCAACCAAAACAAATGGGTTTAATCTTAGCCGGCATCTTTGATTGCAAGGTAAGGACCTAGCACTTCGGGCTATACAGTTGGATTGTGAGACTCTCGGATGGCTCTTCTCTGATCCCCGGCCCAAAAAGCCTCAGCCACATTTTCTCCAAATCCCACCTGCTCCGGGGACCCAGCATTGCCCTGAGTGCCTGCATCAGCCCTTCTTGGCTGCCCCTGCTCTTCTCCTGCTGCAGCAGAACATCTATAGGGCCCAAAACATCATCACCCTGCAAAAAAGAATCTCTGGAAGGAGTCTAGGTGATTAATGGGCAGGAATGCTGGCTACCTCCACCATAAGATAAAACTGCCATCCTGTCACTTTGTCTCTGTAAAAGGCTTCACAGGCTATTTGCACAAAGAAGAGACCCACATGTGCCTTTTTCTTTTTTAAACTTTATTGGGGAACAGTGTGTTCTTCCAGGATCAATCAGCTCCAAGTCAAGTCGTTGTTTTCAATCTAGTGGAGGGCGCAGCTCACTGGTCCATGTGAGAGTTGAACCAGCAATCTTGGTGTCTCGAGCACCGCGCTCTAGCCAACTGAGCTAAGCGGCCACCCATGTGCCTTTTGAATCTGAAGTTTAATAGGAAGTTTGAGGTAATTTATCTAGGCATTGGACAAATGCTGGCCTACTTATTATTATCAAGTATGGGAAAATTGCATATTAATATTCAATACAGACTACTGTTTATTCTTTTACGTGTACAATCATCTTAGTAAACACGGTACCACCTTTCTCACTCCTTAAAGCAGAATTGACCATTCCCTCTACTTTGGGGGCCCAAGGTACCCTATAAGGACTTTAATAACAGGACCTGAGACCCTCTATTTACTCATTTGTTTATATGATTGCCTCCCCACACCCTACTACTCCAGGCTGTTAGTCCCTGGAGGACAGGACCCCATCATATTCCTTCTTGAGTTCTCAGTGCCCAACAGACTGCCTGGCACACAGCAGGTACTTCATAATACCAGAATGGCAAAGGGGAAGAGGCGGTAAGCATGAAGAGGGTAGAAACTGAATCTGTCTTATTCATTGTTACCTGACCTATAAATATTTTTTGAATTGACAGATGGATTAAAATAACAAAAGAAAGGTGGTACTAAGGCATGCAAGTATACAGCTTGGTTGTAGTCTAATAAATGTCATCTTTTATCAATTCTAAAAACATTTTCACTTACATTTTGATGGGTTGGAAATTAGGATGCATTTTACAATGGATGCTATCTTGGCATCGTGTCATAGTTTATCTGGAACCTTATTTTCTCTTTCTTTCTCAGTGGTGTATAGAATAGTCATACATGTTAGAAATGATGGTGTCATCAATTCAGTGAAATACAATTGTTTGATGTAGCTGTGGTAAGAAGGATTGGAAAGAGGACTGTAAAATTGCACTGAAATTTCCACAAGAGTAGAAACACGAAGAGGTTAGGTCTTTTTAGTGGTTGGTAAACGGAGTGGCTATTTGTCTCACAATGATTCCTCCTCCTCAAATAGCAGCCCAAGTGGGGCTCTCAGTGGCCAAGTCTATGCTAAATGACCCTGCCCTTCTGCCCACCACTGATTGGTTCAAGGGTGGTCACATGACCCAAACTGAGCTAATCATTATTACTCTTTGAGAATTTTTCCTTGGAGCCAGTGAGAGTGTAGGTCAGTTCTTCTCTGCTGTTAACAACAGTGAGATTTAGAGTTCAGGGACAATCTGTGGCCATGCTCCCTGCCGTGTAGGAGAGAAGCAAAAGCAAGAGACAGAATCTTAACATCACTTGAGTCTCTGTGTGGCTCAAATAAGCTACATGCTCATCAAACTTATTTCTTCTTCTTCCTAGGCAAACAGATCACATTTCTCAGCCTCCTTTACCATTATATGGGGTCATGTGCTGAGTAGTAATTGAACGAATGAGGACAGAAGTGATATAAGCCACTTCCAGACCTGGCCCATGAGAACATCTCACATGAGATCCTTCAATCTCCTTCTCCATTTGCAAGTTAAAAGGAGAGAACTTTGAGAAATGCAGAGGAGAAGGAATCCACAAGATAGAAGGAGCCTGGGTCCCTGAAACATAGAAGGTGGCCTAACCAGCAAGCACCATGTTGAATTGCTGTACAAACAAGAAATAAACTGTGTGTTAAGCATTGAAATTTGGGGGTTGTCAGGGCAATTACCTGCTCTACTGTCTCCTGGTTCCAGCTGCGCCCATCCTTCCTATGGTTACATGAAATATCCCAGTATTCTTCCCATAAATCCTTCTTTGCCCAAGTTAGTTTGAATTGGGTTTCTTTCATTTACAACTTAAAAAGAGTTCTGAGGAACACAATAAAAAAGAATGAACTGTAATCAGATGACGTGGTAACAGAAGTAAGTAACAATCCCCAGATATCTAGGGAACACCTAGAAAATTTCTCAGAACGGAGTAATAATTTCAACAAACTGAAACGACAACACACTAAAGACTCTTTTCAGGTTCCAAGGGCTACTAGCTCTAAACTCATAAACCACTTACAGCAAGATGCTCTCTCCTCATTCTCATTTCATTACCAGAAGCATGTACTCAGTTGCAGCAGCCTTGCCTTAGAGTTGACCTACTATCAGGTACCCTCAGGAGCTCTCAACCATACAGAATCCTAACGAGCAAGGTAAACTTCATACATAGCCAGCTCTGCTGTCCCAGGATTTATTGGGAAACAGATCGACAAACAGCTCCAAGAATTCAAATAATTACTCTGGGGTAAATAGCTCTGGGTATTAAGTGTACAACCCTGACCAGAGCTTTCAAAGATAAATATTAAAGAATCGCCAAAGCTCCTGGGAGTATTCATAAGACTATAAATGAAATGATTACAAAAATAAACAGGAGA